TGCCTAACTGCCCAGAGCTCTGAGATTAGAGCAGAAATACAAGTAGAAACAATGCTGTAGAAGATGACAAATACACCCTTCTCAGTTGATAATTTAGGCAGCCTGTAGCTTTCTTGAAGATGGGAAGAAGCATAAAATGTTACAGCACCACACATCAATACCATTAAAAAAAACCCAACACACACTTTGAAAAGAGATGTAAGAGGTATGTAATTACTTATAATCATGTTCCTATACTTTTAAAGAAATCAGGGAAATAAACACCGTACAAGATAAACACGTAAGGTGTTCAGTCTCATGGGGAAAGAGGTAATGGCTCCAACAGAAAAAAAAAACAGCTATGTTAAAGGTGTATATTAAAATATATTGTGATTTCTTTAGTATCTAATTTAATGCTACATTAGAAAAATACCTGATTATGAGCCAAAAAAATAGAAAACGTTCTCGGTTACATGGATGTGGCCATGTAGTCTGCAGTCACTATTTCTCAAATCCCACTACACAAGCCTACACCTTAGAGGCCTTCTCTTTTACAACTTTAATAAGCAGCATCTATAGTGAAAGGAGATACATCAGCTAAATCCAAGGTTAAGGGGTTTGGAAGACCCAGTTACCGGTTGTTCATGACCTTGGTTAAATCAGTCCAGGCAAGACCACAAAACAGACTTCAGTGCAAGATGTCCTTTGGAGTTCAAGCCCCTCCTCTGCCTGAGGACACATCAGCCTTGCTTCTCTCTAGGCTTAGTTGCCCCCCAGCCTACAAAGCACAATGGAAACACAGATATTCTGAGTAGCTCTAGATCTACTAGAGACTGCACTCACAAAAGGCTGGGTGTGATTAACAAGCCCGGCAGGAACACGGTGCTGCATGATTAACTATCCAGAGAAAAGTGCCTGCTCAAGGATCACAGTACAGACATGCAAGTGCCTTCCCTTAAAGTTGTAATGCAAAACAAAGAATTTCTACAGAACAGACTAGAAGAGGTAAATCTCCTATCAGCTCATCAAAGCAGCTCCTCACTTAAACCGAGATCCACATGCCCCCAAGCAGGTACCAGATCTCCCTGTACGGTGTAGGGCAGGGCTCTTAGCCACTGTCGATCCTGCTACCTGACGGAAATTCTGAACTCCTTCATACATCATGACTACAGCATTCCTGTATTTCCACTTACTACAGATATGCTGGGAGATTCAAAGTTTGACACATACAGTTACTGTGGTAGCAAGAACTATACAAATGCCTCACAGAGGATTTGGGTAAAGCAACTCCTAATGTGGGGCCATTGTGTCCAAGGAGGCTTTGGGATTTTTAAATGATCGCCTAAAAGGAGGTGGCTGAATACCAGTACAGGATTGATAGTAACAGCCACACACAAACAGACACTTTCTTTTCTCCTCTATCATGGCAAGTTAACTACCAAAGCAGTAATCAAGACTATATTTCTACACATATAAGAACTCCCACTGACATAAGTATGAGTTTAGGGTGAGCTAGACACACATAAAAGCCATTTCTACTAATAGGCACATTTCGAGCTGTCAACAGTGATCTGAGTATAACACTGAGTGAAAAGACAGCCATAATCTTTCCATATTAATTCAACTTACAAGAAGATGAAGGTCAGGGGACAAAAAGCAAAGCACAACTAAAACCAGCACTTGTCAGATGGAAAAGGACAAAACCAGTTGGAAAATAATTTTATTTTTCAGACTTCTAAGAAAATTTACAAACAATGGTGGTGTAAAAAAAAGACACCCTATAAAAAAGGTTGACAGAATTTCTCAAACTATAGCATCAAATGAAGTTACAGAGCAACAAGCATACAATGAAATTCTATTCATCAAATTAGTATAAGGTAATTGAAATGTAATAAATCTAATAATCTCTACATCTTACCCAGAAATCCTGTAACAATCCAACATTCTGAGTTTAAAACATACTTACAATACACAATTAATCTCTCCATCTATAGCACTGAAATCACCTAGGCAAAAGTTACATAGCAAAGAAACACCTTGTGAAGTTTGTAAAGCACATCTGGAGCACACTACAATAACATACAACAGAAAGCAAAACACCCTGCATGCTTGCTTATTAATCCCCAACATCTAATAGGAAATACAATATAGAAATAATAGAAGCAGTATTTAGTAACTTTCTCCATGCTGGTTCTATTCTTCATCCAGAGTGAAACAGAAAGTCTTCCTTGCCCTACTTTCAGTTTGAACCTTGGCATTTTCCCAGGGTATGTTCCCCCTATGTTCATCATCATCCTTGTCATTAGTGGAGCAGGTGGTTCTTAACCAAGTCAATCCCAATCACGAATGCCACCATGCCTTCCACATATGAATGTCTTCATCCTGCAACCTGCCTCCAATTCTTCACATGCTGAACTCACAGACAGACAGACAACATGCGCAAAATCTAACCTCAATTTGCCAAAGTTTATATACAGGGCAGAAAACAAACCAGTGCTTATATCCTTTATTACTGCTGTAGACTTTCCTCTACTCAGGTCACTCGCTCACTTTAAATAGTAGGCATTTAAAAACCATCAACACAATTTAATTAACAGCTTAACTTGAAATTGCAAAGGAACTCCAAACACTGGCACACTAAATCCTTTTGAATGTGAATTTGAAAAAACATGAAAACCTGATGTCTTCATTAACCTATAAATCAACTCCTCCCAGCCCTAACTTCATCTTAAATATACTCTGTTCAGAGCACAAGGAATAAGAATTATTTTTTAGTTACAGCATATGGATTGGTGCTTTCACTGTATTCATCCTGAGAAAAGCCAAAGACAGTGTCCATTAAATACTGCTGAAATAATTCATCTTGACAGCTCAGGACAATGTATCAAAAGGTTATTTTGTCTTTCAAAAGTAAAAACAAACCCATGAATCATTCCATTTAATGAGATTTCTTTCCTGACTGCTTACAAAAGGGTAGGAATAAAAGATAAGAAACAGATGTGCATATCCCATGCTAAAACAAGAGTTAGTAAGAGGCTTCCACCAGTGTTTTTCTCACTAAATCTGTTTAAATATTGACAATTCCTGAAATTCTTGCCAAATTATATTATCAGGGCAACTAGAAACACTATGAAACCTGGCAGCACTTTGCAATGAAAGATATGGGTATGTATGTTGTTGGGGTCAACAGGCAGTTAAAGAAGTGGTGACATAATTTAGCCTTTCATGGCTTTGAAGATACAAAATGGAATACTCACTTTCAGCTTCCTGTCTGTCACAGATATCCAGGGTAAACTCTGATAAATTAATGTCTAAACTGACAATTCAAATCACTCAGAAACATTTAGACCATGTGAGCTAACTGTACCTTAACTATTTCTTTCCTCGCTACCTATAACAAAGCCATCTTGGAGCTTTCTGATCACAGAGCTTGTAGGATTCCTTCTAGGAATCAGTCTTACTCATTTTCCCCAACTTCTCTCTAATCACAGGCCGCAGACACAGGAAGCCAGCAGCAGATACACTGCTGTGCACCCCGCTGCCTGCACTGCACAAAGAAGTGGGAGGATGAATCTCGGGCCTGTGCATCCAGCTAAGCTCTCAGACTTAGGCTAGAGGGCTAATGAGGGCCTTTGGCAGAGATGGCTGGCAAGGATGGTCTTGGAAGAACACTGATCCTAATGATCAGTGTAAACACAACCTTATAAGGCCCGTCACACCAGTGTCTCCTACCTCCCAAGCTGCAGGTACATGACAAAGTAACATCCAAGGTGGTGTTATGGAGGCTGCACAAGCGCCTCAGGCAGACAACATTTTCTAGTTTTCAGATATGTGAAGGCAGTCAATGATGCAAATGCACGAAACATCTTATGAGAACAAAATAACCCCTCAAATCTATAATAATTTGCTATACACTCAAGCCCTTTTCTGGGCAATGATTTATGTAATCCCACATGCTCAATTAAAATGTACACACTTCAATGGCAGTATTTAACTCCTCAGACAAAACTCCCTCTTGCTGAATCCCTACTTCAAACATTCCCTAATTTGAGCACTCCATCTGACCTTCCCAGCGTTTCAACAGCTCACCACTACCAGCAGCTTTACCCTCTTACAGTTTAGGAAACATTCACAAAAAATGTCTTCTCCAGAATGGATAAACACAGATACATTTTCTTAATGCAATGTACAGTTAATGTATAAATCTTACTGCAGTAAAAAGCCAAACATTTAGCAGGGTTCAAAAGAATTTATGAGAATATGTAACTCATAGTAACAGATACTGACAACTGGGTTTAGAAAGGCATATGAATCTCCATACTTTATGTTTTAAATCTTTATGTGACTGGTGATCAAAAATCATTTTTCCTGCAACTACACTGTCCTGGTAGTAGACCACTAACAAGTTTTTGTATATCTCCTCTAAAGTATCTGTCATTGGCTAGTTATAACAGTGGATTAGTTGATCTGCTACAGATTGATTGCCATGCTGATTTGACTATCCTCTCCTTTCCTCATAAGAAATTTTGCTAATTTGGCTTCTTGTGGAAGACATGCTCAAATTACAGTTATAAAGAAAATTTAAAAAGTAATAAAATAAAAATATGGACTGTGGTCACTGTTAAGAGTAGCACATACTATTTGACCTCTCTTCTTTTGAAAGACAGATCAATGACCTTCATACTAGATTACTATTATATGACAAATTCAGCCTTCTCAATGCCTGTAAAGCTTCCATCTCTGTCACTGTATGCCACTCACATACACCCAAAACCAGAATTGGCCAATTTAAAAGTAATGATTGATGGCCTATATTGTTCAATGTTTTCTTCATCAGGCACAGATTTTGAGGAAATGGTGTGCTAAGCCTCTCAATTTGAGCATAAACAACAGAAAAGTTATTACCTGTTCAAATTATAAAGGAAACAATAGTACTGATGACCTGCAACTTAAGTAATTTCAGATTAATCATGCTATATTAGGTAAGGCTTGTTAGCATCTGCTCAGTGTTAGGTATTTACCTTTAGTCCACCACAGATTGGACAAGCTGAAAAAAGAGCTCTTGTCATCCCAAGGTGGGGGCTACATGTGTCATAGGGGTCAGCTGAGGCCCCACTAGGTGGTGACAACTCACTACTTTTGGAGTCTGACACCTGTCCTTGTGGTTTTGTGTCTGACCACCTCGAAACAAAATCCACATACGTCTCATCACTTGAGTCCTTGCTGCTTTCTGCGAGTAAGGATGAAGGCCTCCCTCTGTCCTGGCTGTGCTCAGGTACCCTCTGTGCTTCCAAATGTTGTAGTAGCAGTTTTGGGTCGCTAGCACCTTGAAGTGACAGGGCCTGGTCCTTGGGTAGCAATGAATCTGCACGCTTCGGTTGCACATCTTTAGAAGCTGCCTGTAACAAACTCCTGGGTATATCATAAATATGTCTGAGAGAGCTGGGAACCTGATACTCTGATCCTGCACCTCTCTGGGGCTCACTGTGAGGACAAGTACATAAATTCTGATCTGAAGGAAAGTTCAATGGCAAGCTCAGCAATGATCCAAACTCATCACCATGGCAAATGTCCAAGCTCCCAGCATAGGAAGAGAAGCTTCCAGAGTAAGAAGAGTGACTACCAGTAGCTATTCCACTGTCGGATGAACTCTGACGACCTATTTCCTGCAGCTGTCTGGATCGGAGGGGCTTGGGAGGTGGTTTAGTGGTGCCACGTGCCCCTTCTGGAAGGGTCTTTTCTTCCCCAAGATGAATGCCCTTTGCAGCTGCCAGTCCGTGACTCTCTTGAGAAGTGCTGGCTGAAGACTGTTCAGGCCAAATTGTCAGTCTGCTCCCAACACTAACATCTGAGTGGCTGGTATCTGAAGATGAGCTTGAAAGACTTCTATCATCTCCTAGAAAAGAAAACAACACATCAACCTATGTTTAAAACACAAACAACATACTGAAGCATGGCAAGTATGTACAAACAGAAAGGACCCTGAGACTCCATCTGCTTTTTGTAAGGGGAACTTCTGTCAGAAAGTCAGAATTCCTGCAATAATTTCTATCCCCAAGGGGAAAATAAAATACAAATAGTATGTTATTTTGCCATAACCCTACCACATTGTGGAACATAATACATTCAGAGCTAAATTTTTAGAGTTTCTGCACCAAGTTCCCCCCTTTTGAATCATATTTTACTTCCATACAGTTAATTGGTTTAATTTAGATAGGAGTATCTTATATGACAGGGAACAGTCACAAAGTTCCATGCTCAGAATAGCTGAGGATGCTCTGAAAAAAAATTGTTGCTGTAACCCAAAGCCATATAAGATATTTTCATACTTCTATTTGATCTGAATCAACCAAACAATTCTCTTATTTGTACTTTTTCTCTATTTAAGTCTTATCTGAATGACATCAGAGTGAATGTTAAAGACACTACAAAACTAAAATCAAACTCAAGACTGTTCTGTTCTCTCCTCTGACCTCTCCTACACTGTACTCCTCCATAATTGGTACTGGGGCCAGCACTGTTTAACATCTTTCTTGGAGACATGGACAGTGGGACTGAGTGCACCCTCACCAAGTTTGCCAATGGCAGCAAGCTGTGTGGTGCAGTCGATGGGCTGGAGGGAAGGGATGCTATTCAAAGGGACCTGGACAGGCTGGAGAGGCCCATGAAAATCTCATTAAATTCAACAAGGCCAAGTGCAGGGTCCTGCACATGGGTCAGGTTGGGGCAATCCCATGCACAAATACAGGCTGGGTGGGGAATGGATTGACAGCAGCCCTGCGGAGGAGGACTTGGGGGTATAAGCGGATGGAAAACTGAATATGAGCCACCGATGCACACTCGCAGCCCAGAAAGCCAACCGTATCCTGGGCTGCATCAAGAAAAGTGTGACCAGCAGGGCGAGGGAGGGTATTCTCCCCTTCTACTCCACTCTCATTAGACCCCACCTGCAGCGATGTGTTTAGCTCTGGGGACACCAACATCAGAAGGACAGGGACCTGTAGGAACAAGTCCAGAGGAGGCCACAAAGATGATCAGGGGGCTGGAGCCCCTCCCCTGTGAGGACAGGCTGAGAGAGTTGGGGTTGTTCAGCCTGGAGAAGAGAAGGCTCCAGGGAGACCTTACAGCAGCCTTCCAGTACTTAAAGGGGCTACAGGAAAGGTGGGGAGGGACTCGTTATCAGGGAGCAAAGTGATACGATGGGGGCTAATGGTTTTAAACTGAGAGAGGGTAGACTTAGACTAGATACAAGGAAGAAATTCTTCGCTGTGAGGGTGGTGAGGCCCTGGCACATGTTGCCCAGAGAAGCTGTGGCTGCCCCCTCCCTGGCAGTGCTCAAGGCCAGGTTGGACGGGGCTTTGATATATATATATATATATATATACACTATCACAAAATAGCAATGTTTATCCCCTGAAATCTAATTCTTTTCTCTCAGTGCCCATTGCATAACACTGGCTTGTGACCCCTGCACAAGCATAACTCCCGAGATTAAATTATACAGCTATCCAGACAAAAGGCACAAATTACAAAAATATTAGTGTAGTTCTCAGCAACATGCCCAGAAGAAGAAATATATTTGTTAAATAAAAGTTATTCTGCTTATAAAAACATCTGGCTTTATTTTAAAAATAAGATTAATTTACTGGAAATCAATTCTCTTAGTCAAATATTTTAGGCACTTTAGAACTCTGGAAGGGAAGCCCTCCCACAGTCCTGAAGAAAATGCTCTATGTAGAGCTACACATTCTCCAAGACAGTAGCAGAACCTAGATCTCCAGATTCAGGCAAATGTCCTCCCACCAAACTTGTAGGGACAGTCTTCTTGTTATAATATTTCCCATAAACATAAATATTTCATTTTCCTATGCAAAATTCAAATCACAGAATATAAAATCTTACTCCAGGATTTGTCATTCTCTGAGGAATTCTTAGGAGAACAAGGTCATAAATTCAAGTAATATCACACAGGGAACATATATAAAGTTGGGCTACAGTTTCTAACCAGACTGACTGGATGGAGAAACCAGGCATGCTTCTCTATCAAATCTCAATCTAGTCAAGTCTAGTAGTTATATGCTAAGAAAAACTTCAGGAAGTCTCAGTGAAATTTAGTCACAAACCACATTACTCAGCAGTGTCAAGACTAAGTAGCCATGGACATATATAGAAGTACATAATTAAGTTCCTGAGGATTTTCACAGGGCCATTTTTAGACTTGTAGGCTTTAAAGTCAAGAGCAAAGCAGATGTTTTAAGGATCTAACTTCTGCTCTTAAACAATTCAAATACTAGTTAAGGGCATAGGCCCTTTTACAAATCTAGTGCTATAACTAATTCTACTTTGATACATAAACAGGTCCAGAAGGAACATACACAGATAGCACCACAAAGACCAAGGATACTTACACTGAGAACCAAAGCACAGGAGCCCTAGGTTTTACTACAAAAATCTGCTGGTAAGCCTCATGTGAACTATACAAGTTAGTCCATCTCGAAGGCTGGAGTGAGTCAAATACTTAAGCAGATATAAAACGTGATGCAGACAGTTTTTTTGAAGTTGCACACACAGAGATTCCGTGGAATTCAGCATACTAAAGGATTTTCCCGTGTTAATAGTGTATGATCCAAAACTCTGCTCAGTTGAAAAACTCCAGTCTACATCAATGGACTTTAGACAATGCTGTTAAAGAACAGCCCCACAACCAACAGCAGCAAAATCAATTATCTTGATCTTTTCTCCATTATTTTTCTTTAAAGCTTAGCATCTTGTATACTCATTTCTAAAGACTAGGAAGGATTTTTATTTAATTTTTGTTTAATTAAAGATATTTCTTACCTCCACTGCCCTGGCGACTTGTATGGGACAGCAAGCTCAAGCGCTTTTCTAATTGCGAAGCTTCATGAGCCAATCTTTCTTCTGAATAAGCTGGATTTGTACTTGGATCTTTAAAAAGAAACAGAAAATAAGTAAAAAAGAAGATGGAAAATATATAAAAAGAAGGAAAGAATAAAAGGACACATTCTTATATTAGATATTCTTATGTTTGATATACTACAGGAAGGGAAAATGGTGACTGGAAATTGTATGGGACAATCTGCCTTCAAGCACATCCTGGAGGTATGCTACATAATAAGTTATAATTTTAACTGTCAAAGACTTTCAGAGGTTATACCCAATGTCTCTAAGAGTTACCACCAGAGACATAGCACCAAAGGCAACAGCTACAGAGAAAATTAGTGTCCAGCAGGTCTAGCAGTTGAAAACTAATATGTGACCCGTAGAACACATCCTGACTTCACTTGAACTCACTGGGAATTTTATCACCGATGAAGACCAAATTTTTCATCCTACAAACTTACAAATCTACATCATAAACTCAGTCATAGTGCTTAAACTATCCGATACCTTCCAGTCCAGATCACCTATTTACAAAGACATTGCTTTCAAGTTTGATGTTGAGAAGGCCATTAAGTTCAGAAGTCAGAGATGAAATAAGCAACCTGGTGGCTCTCTGTCTTCCTGCTTAATACAAGTTAGAATGGTAAAACACACTCCTGAAATGTACTATCAGGGATTCTCCCCATGCATTTTACTGTTTTCCATTCCACCTGAAATTACTGCACTGAAGAAGGCTCATTCTATTCCAACAGAAGGACCAAAAGTTATACAGAATGTGGAAGAACATTTTCATCAGTAAAACAGGCCAGTTTCCTCTAAACCAATTTGTTGCCAGCCAGGCAAAACAAAAAATCAGGTGTTGGAAGCAATCATAACCATTATCCCAAGAGAAATCTTACAGGTTTCTTCAAACACCACTGACAAGTGTGTTATGTTCAGCAGTTGCAAAGGATATGGTCTGCTAACTTGTTCATCATCGGAAATTTCAGTAGCTCCTATTAATTACATAGGGAAAGTAATTAATGACAGATAAAGCAGTTTAGCTTACTCACAACTGCTGCTCTTGTATATCTGATCAACTTGCTAATAGTAGCACACCACAGAAACATTTAATCATTGGATCATTTAATAAGAAAAAAAAAAAAGGATGAAAAGGGCTACACATTGCTGTGGTTGAGTTAGTACGATAAACAGCTGAAATTATGACAGAAAAGTTTCATTTTCATCCCAGATCTTTCGGTTTTAACAGAGTTGGGTTTGATGTCAACACAGCAGTCAAAGCAAGCTCGCAATCAGGGGAAGGAGCATCGCCAGGTGAGCTGAAGCTCCGTGGGAGTCCCCACATTGTTAACTACCTGAGGAACAAGCTGCCACATCTCCCTAACCGTACTCCCTTTCCGATCTGCCCTGCATAGATCCAAGTGCGTCACAGGAAGCGACAATGCTGAACTAACTTTCCCATATAGAGGGCGTTTCCATCTTTAGCTGTCTGCAATCTGGATAAGATTAGCAGAATGAGCCAGACACACACAAAATCCTGTAACACCATATGTTGGAAATCAAAGATGTTCTAACGGGGACAAGGCAACAATGCCTGTGACCTCTGTGTCTCCCAGCAAAAACAGTGCTTGATGTCAGTGTCTGACACCTTCCAAACCTGACTTTAAGACAGAAAAGAGGACTGTTTGATATGGATTATTTTGTTAGGTCTCCATTCCTATTTCCCCTTCCATACAACTCATATTAAGCATTGACCATTTCAAATCTGTGTAACTGTTTACTCAAATGAAACCCCTAATGCTTCCATATGGACCTCTGCCAAAGGAAAAGACAAGATCTGGCCACCAGCACTTATGGTGCAACCCAGACAGGTCTATGCAAGGATCTGCTCAGTGGCATACAGCATTACAGGCTGCTGCTTGAATCTATTTTTGAACGTCCTCTGCTCCAGTTACTCCGGCTGTACCTAGTTCAGTGCCCTTATGTCCGTAAAGGTTCAACAAAGATGTTCTATGAGCACTTTGAGTATAAAGTTGGCATAACAGATCAACAAATTAGTCAAACCAAGATGCAACAGAAACTAACCATTTCCACAGCAAAGAACTGACAGTAGAAAAAAATCCTTCCACTTTCTTCAGCATATGATTACTTGATAAATACAGACTTTCAGAAAGTTACTAGAGCACATACACAGCTATTAGGTTTTTAGTAACTGATACCCCTCTTACAGACAGCACAAGATATAATTAAAAAAACCTGATCAAACAACTGATCTTGCAAAAATATCCAATAATAAAATACAAAATGGGGAGGTAGGAGGGAAGTTTAAGCAAATCACTAAGTTTGCATTTCACATATTCAGTCGCTTCTAGAAGCCAAATTCCCTATTAGCTACACAGCTACAGAACACAACAGGTTTAACCCAAAAACATGAACTCTCTAGACATACTGCCTGTCCAAGAGGACTGAAAATTTTTTGGTTAAACTTCCCTTTAAGGATTACATGTGTATAAAAGGTGTGTATAAAACTGGATGATAGCTACATGATGTGACCTCTCATTGCCCAGTTTTGTAGAAGACTGCTTAGAAGAACCCTTTCTCAGCAAGTACTAGGAAATGTCTAGAGAAACGTCTTCAAAATCTGCCTAACAGATATAGACTTTAAGTCTTAGGTAGACGTTAAATACAAGTGTCCATCAGTTTTACTGAAGTCTTTGTTTTGCCTTTAATCTTCTCTGCTAATAAATAAGACTTCTATGGAAAGCACACACAATACTATTCCCTAGAAGCAGCATTTTTGGTTACAGACTACCAAGACTGATCAGGAGGATTTTCTACAAGATCAGACTAAGGACTGAAGCCACTGGCACCCACATTTTAGAGACCAGTCCCTGCTGGAAGACATGACCTACGATCTCCTGTCATATGAGTGTAGAAATATGGCCTAAAAAAATTATGAAAACAAGGGTTTTTTTCAACAGTAAAGTTGAGTTTGTGGGCACCAGCCTATACCTTGTGCATGCACAACACAAAGCCTCTAAACTGTGTAGTGATTTGCCATATCACTAACTCAGGAGGACAGAAGCAGCATGACCGGTACTGAGACAGCTGTCCAGGGAAGTTCATACAGGTTCTGCCCACACAACATCCTACAGTACTCCAACAACATTAAGAGCAATTACTACCTTCATTTCTCAAACTCTTAACAATGTATCTCCCAAGGAATCTAGGCAGTTAGATTCACCCAGGTCCTTCATTTAAGAGAGTGTTTTATAATTACTCAAACAAAAATGGATCCCCTGCTGTGGAAAAAAAATACCTTTTGTGTAAGGCAGTCATTGAAATCTTCTTAAATACTGCTTTGGGGCAAAGGGGAAGGATTACATCAAATTTGGCTAGACTAAAAATGCCTCTGATGGAGATTTTATTTTTACATTACGTTGGTGGATATTCATTAAAGCCACATCAGCTGCTCATCGTGGGAGATTTTGAATACTTTGGTAACATACGAATAAAGTGTCACAGTAATTCAAAGCTCTAGGGTTGTTCAGTAAGCACCTGTCAGGAAAAAAAATCTATCGTATCAAGTTAAGTCAGCAGCTATCTAAGGTATGCTTGATTATATGTATCTTTAAAATGCAACACTGGTTAATTACTTCTTTAAACAAAGTCAAATTAAGCTGAGCATCTCTCCTCTCTTTCTTCCTTTGTAACTGTAGGCACATTTGCAAATTAGGCCTGGACCCTCACCTTCATGCTAACATCTCCACACCTTGTAAGATGTCTGGAGGAATGAAAAGATGTCCTAAAAGTTTGAGGAGAATCCACTTGGTACAGATACTGCAGAAGGCAGCCATAGAGCTGTCTTGCAATGGCCAAAGGTGTATGAAGCTTCAACAAAAAGAAAGAGCATCAGATAGATCCTCTGCAAGCAGCACTGCACACGCTCCAGTCAGTCACAAAGCAGCCTGAAAAAGCTTCCAAAATTAAAAGACAGCATCAAAACTATCAACATTACACTTGGGGACTTTCCAGACTGCAGAACTAGATTGTCCTGTAGCCTTAGCCAGATTTAGAGTACTGATCTGCCCAGTGATCAAAAATATCACTGATCGGCTATTGGGCCTTTGCTGTGTTCATGTCTGGCATTCAAGATGAATCTTGCTAATGAAAAAAAGGAATTCAACGCACACCTGATAAACAAACATTTCTGAAATAATATGCATGCAAATTCAGTATAGATTACAAACCATGCAATCAGTGATTCATTACTACGTCAAGACCTAAACTTTTGTCAAGACAAGAACAAAAATTTTTCTGGTCTGTTTTCTAACTATCTTCTCAAGAAAAAGAGACTATGCAAGTAGCCAATTACAGCAATTATCTTCCAACTAGTAGCTGGGGAAAACAAGCCATCCAAAGACATCCTGTCACTCATTTGAGCCCTTTATGTAAAACACTACACTGTCTAAAAACATCTACACAAACCTACACTACCTTTACATTCCCACTCAATGTCATAGGCCTTAAATTTGAGACCTGATCACGTGCCTTTAACAAATCAAAACCTCCAATCTGCTAATGGAGCTACCATTTTGGTACAATTTTGCAAAATTAATAGACTGCCAAAATAAGTACCACACAGTAGTAAACTGCAAAACATATAATGTTCTTTCCTTTTTCCATTTTCTTTTGGATGCACATATGAATATTCATATTCATTTGATACCCATTTTCAAAAAGTCATAGAATAATAATTCAGGTCGGAAGGGATTTCAGGAATTCTGTAGTCTAACCTACTGCTCAAAGCAGGTCAGCTGAGAGAGATTAGACCAGATTTTGATACCTTGCAATGGTCAGTCAAGTTCATGAGTTCCTCTGCACAGCATTTTAATTACATATTTTATAGGTTACATAATAAAATACATACAGTAATCATATACCTCTCTTAAGAAACTAATGTGTATTTTTTAAAACTACAATCCTGAAAAGAAGATGTGAATATTGTACTTGAGCAAATATTCCTTGCACACGCAGTTTAAAAACTCCTTTTGGATACTGGGCATTTTACATTTTTTTTAAGAATCACTGTGGCAATTAAAAGTAAGGAAAGTGGTTATTTTCTATTCCTCTTCAAACCAATCTCTATTATTCCCTATTAATCTCATGCTAACACTTAAATATTTCAGCACTCCATTTAACCATATGGTTGAGCTGTTTGTACATGAAGCCATTGGCTTCATTCATTCCCCTTTTTCCAAAGACCGACTAAGGAGATGTTGACTGCATAACATCTCTAGATTGTATTTGTGCTGTGGGCAGTGGTGTCCAAGAACACTGTCGATATGACATTTTTTTACCACATTATGTTCTTTTGTCTGTACAGCTGCCTTCTGTCTTCCTTTCTTGAAAATGCCTAAGAATTATTCAAGCATATTTCAAGTTTAAGCTGGAAAGGTACAGGCAACAGCAAGAAGCCAAATTCAAACAGCAAACTGGAGAGAAGGCTGCTTCCTATAAAAGCTTTTAAATTACACAAAAGCAGAGCATTGCATATATAAAGCACAGTTGAGGCTGTGTAGCATTCTGTGCTGCAGTAAATATGAATAACATTGACTAGATGTTTCTTGGTAGAACCCCCAGTCTGGAAGTTTTGATCTAGTTACCTGAGACATATAGATCATTAATCTATTTAATAAGTAACCCTTTCAAAAAGTTGGGTGAATTTCAGTATCTTGCACAGATACAGCATGCAGCTGGTAGAGACTTGACCTCTTCAAGCAATACAGAACATTCTGTGTAACAGCATACTTGATTAGGAATAGTTTATGGATGGATCACTAGTATTATACACTTGCATATGCCTTTAATAGGTCTGTGAAAACTTTTGCATGGGATAATAAATGAAGGAGAACATAAGAAATAAAAATTTTCTATGACGGGACATGTACAGGTCTGCAGAGGAGTCTGCAAGAACGTGAGCACAGTTCCCTACAGAACACTGCTCCTGTCCAAGGAAACAAGGTGAAATCAAGTGGCTGAGTACATCTTCACCTCATTTTAGTGGCAAGTCCACTGAGCACAGAAGACAAATAAAAAAGACCTTAAGTCTTTTTACAGTAATCACTTACAATAATCACCAAATCATCCCCGGGATATTCCACATCCACTTTATGCACTTCAGTGAGGTCAGAGCTCTTGAAGGAGGGAAGGGAATGTGGTATGTGGCTATGTGTAACAACCCACAAACACCAGAACTGATAACTAAAATGCGAAAGCTGACTTACTTCTACATGCCTCTCAAAAAATATTTTTCAAAGAATGTGTCATCTAAAATTAAAATTAAGAAAATAATAATTAAAAAAAAAAAGACCATAGATTAGCTTGTAGGCTAATTTTTCTGGACATAAATTTTTGTTAAATGAAATATTTAGCAGTTATATATGTGTAATACTTGTTTAGATATGCAGAAAAATATGTATTCAGTAGTAAAGATTTAAGTATCAGCAGTAGTTTTCTGGGTTTATATTGTTGGTTGTCTGCTGTTTGCCTTTTTTTAACACTCAGCTGAACACAAACACAGATTATCACATAAGAAGAATGAGGTTTTATTGCCCATGATTCTGCTTCGTTATTTTATTTACTTTGGTGCTACAACTATCGGAAAGAAGATATGAACTGAGCCTTGTCTACTGCAGTTACCTGAACTTATTTTTCATAATATATTTTCACAAGTTTTGCATCCAGATCTAGTCTTTTCCATCACATTTCCTTCCGGCGATTACCTTCTTATAACAGCAATAAAACCCTGACAAATACCTATTAACTGCCTAAGACTTAAACAGAGACTCTATTTCCCACAAATCCCATCCTATCCTTCACCATTCTTGCACTATATCCCACTGTCAATTCACAGATATTTTTGTGCAATCTCATTTCCAAACTCTTGCCCTGTTTGACACAATCATTCCGACTCAATATTATATTTCTTCATCTGCTAAAGTCAAAAGGCAACAGGCTTTCCTATATCGTGATCTAATTTCCTCTCTGAACATTACAGCGCATGCAGCATTTACCATGAAACAGGAAAAGGAAATTAATCCTTGCACATCAGAAAAAAAGTTTAAGCTGCAAAACTGAAATGTGATGTGGAGGCCTCAAAAATTTTCTAAGGTTGGCAAGACTTAGTTCTAAGTGTTTTCGATGAACTCAAAATGCCCCATAAGTTAGTTTTCCATTAAACTATCAAAACAGTAATGCAGACATGGATCCAAGTTGAACTATGTAAGTTTAAAATTAAAGGTTAGGGTTTCTTTCAATTTGAATTGCCATATTTTAGTACTGTTAAATAAGAGAAGGATAGTTATGAATGAGCCAGAGCAGCAGAGGGAAACTGGGTACATTCAACTGATAAATCTGTACTGTGACATTTCAGAATGTAAACCACTTTGCACTTTCTACACCCTTAGTGTCTGCAAGCTGTTCTTACAATCACAGCAGTTAAGTGCTAGACATGGCAAGTTCCTACTTTGCTCAGTTACTCTATACTTCCTATATTAACCTGGTAGGACTGGACGCAAACCAAAAGGGCCTTTCGTCGGGGAGATGCCACGGACGATACAGTCGAACAGAAAGCTGATCTGCTCTCCTTCAGCACAAGAAAGGAAAAAAACACCAGCCCCTGTAAGAAAGCACAACAAATATGTGGGTTTCACCTGGATACATTAGAAATATATTTAGCTGAAGCTATTTATAATATCTCAATCAAGAATATTAAGTGCAAGCCATGAAAAGAAATCAACAAGACATGTTTTTCAGAGAAAAGAAATAAAAAGAAAAAAATTCAGGTCAGCACACACACACTGTATCACAAACATACGCATACATTCAACACCTACTGAATCATTTATGCCAGTTTTTTGAGATTCAGACACTTAGAGCAATGCCAAAATACAAGCCATATTCTCAACAGCTGTCTGGGTCTTTTAGTCTTATTTACCCCTAGAATTTTGCAGATCAAATCTTAGCTATGCAAGTGTCAGTGATACTTAAAGCATCTTCACCAAAATGAACCAAGTTAATTCTACGTTTACCCAATTTTAACCAAGAGCAGCTTTATATATCCCAATGAATTAGGATTTGGTAATACTACTGGATGATAGTATAAATTTTCCTAGTCTAAGTGCAATGTGTCTATTATTAACAGAACGTAACACAACTCCACAAGTTGTCATCAGATCTTTACCCTTTGCTCTATTCTGATATTTTGCTTTCCATTCATTAAGAATAGCCCTAAGCAAAATTAGAATGAGAATCACTAAATAAATAAACAAGTTCTGAGCTGCATGATATATGGCAACATGGACAACACACAAGACTAGAAGTGCTCCACAGAACATTTTATTTGAGAATTGTCAGTCCAAATATTACAGATATCAGGAAAAAAAAATATGATCTTAAAACACTCCAATAACCAGTAACTTCAGGAAAAAAATACAATAACCAAACACAGAAGGAAATCAGATTAGTATATAGGCCTTGAAGAAGTGCCGCCAGCTCAGAGACATGCATGCTAGAAAACCACAATACCAAATCTTAGACTAGCAATAGGGTTTTGCATATTACTTTCCTAGGGACTTGGGTCCCTAATCTAGACATGTTTAACTTCTGCGTGTCTCTAGCCAATTCTGAGTTGCATGCATATGTTTACCAATTTTACTCAAAGCAGCAGAGCTTGTTTGACCAGAATGCCTGCATCCCTATCACTTTTCTCACATATGCCATCATATCCAACAGGATACTCACATTTCAGTTAAGCAATGAATACACTTTTGACTGACAAAGGACTATAGGATTCAAGGGGGATAATAAAGAGTGGACCACAAACCAAATTAGATACAGCCAGCAAGCAGTAAACTCACCACTCTAGGAAAAGTATATTCTGGACCACACTCTTTTGTCAATCTCAATTTATGTCACATCTAAGTCTCTGCCTGTTCTGCTTAAATCTATTCAAGACAACACTGTTAGCAGCATCTTTGTAACTTGGTTTGACACATTTGTTCCTCTTCAGACCTTACTGATCAAAACTTCTTCAACCAAAGAAACAGAAATCCTGTTTCTGATCGTTTATTTCATTTGGCAAATGGCTATAAATTCAACTGGAATTAGAATTCACTGGCTGGTAGAAGGTAAAGTTATACTTAAGGGCTGGCTTGCTAATCATTTCTAGAGTACAAGGTCTCAAATAAATTACTTGAGATTCAGGACAGACAAGTATTAAAACACTAAGCTATGTTTAAGCGACTGAAAAGATGAACACACACTAGCTCATTAAATGTAAACTAGAGTAAAGCCGACTTAACTCTGCAGTTCTGTGGTATTGTTTTCTATTATTGTTTTAAAAAACAAGTTTGTCCCACATTCCCTCATTGCACATATACACACCCTGGCTTCAGGATCAAACACCATCTAGGAGATTACAATACTAATCATGCAGTCTGACAGGTATGAAAGTCTCTGGTGGTGATTCACTCACAATCTTGTTCCATTTCCCCTCCTCAAGAGATGCCAAAGAGTCAGAGAACACTGTTAGAAAAAGCTGGGTGCCAAGTATGTATTCAGGAATGATCTGAAATTCAGCTCTTTCTCTGAGCTGCCTTCTTCTCCCCCCACAGAATACAGGGAGTATAGGGTTTAATCTTAGATGGTATGACTCTTCTGCCATAAATCACACCGATGCCAGAAGCCATGCCTTTCTTGAGGAAGCAGGGCAGCACAAGGCTTTGCAAGACTCTGAACACATGACCTTCCCATTCCATGCACAATAAGCAAGCAGGACAGACAACTTAAGAGAGGACATCCATATCTCAAGCACAGTGATATACTATGCGACTTGGTAATTTAGCAGAATCCTACACACCCATGTTGTCATACAGGAAAAGAAGATCCTTCAAGTATTTCTGTACATAAAGATTATATCTGGACCACTTTGTTCTTTTATCACTATTGTCAAGAGTCTTACTTAAACTCCTAAGAGGCTCTACAATCTGTTGACTTTAATGGAAACAAAAAAGTAAATGTGTGCATGCGAGCTGGCTGCTTAAAGAATGATTTCTGCAAAGAACTATCACACATTTGGAGATCCCAAAACCTAATATGACAGCCTTGATACAAGTAGTGCAAACAGGGTACGCACATGTACACTTGGATACAAGTCCAATATACACATACACGTAAAATATTTCTTTGTAGATTCTGTTATTCACATGATCACCATAAACCACTGATCGACTCCCCCAGGAAACATTTTCTTTCTTGTAGAAAGAACTGCAAGAGGAGTCTGGGGGTCCTTGCAAAAGACATCAGGTGAGATGAATGAATAGGTAAAGCTTAACTAAGTTATGTTTTAAAATCATACATAAAAGCCAGCAATTACGTTTCTTTTCTGATTTTTTGAGAAAGCCGAGAAATTCACTACTAGAAATTAAACATCTCAGTCATGTGTTGGAACAGATCTGGTGCTCGAGCATTTGGAAGCCAAGGAATATGTGGTATGCATCACTGTAATACCATGCAGCTGTTTACTAGACTGAAGAGCTCACTCACTCACTCTCCATGGGGTAAGAGACTTGGTGAAAAGCATCCTGCAACCACCTGCACAAGTCTGAAACACTAAGCCAGTCCTCTGTGGCAGTTAGTAGTAGAACACTGTACAGTCTCCCAAATGTTTAAGAGAAGTTGCCAATTTCATAAAACTTCAAGTACTATTAAATCTTGCTAATGTTTGATTTTAATTCATCATCTTAAAAAAGCAAACCCATGAGTAAACACACCCTCCAAATGCACAATAACCAAAAATTACTTAAATCTCTGTACTGTGTGTGAAAGCAGGGAGGAAGAGTCAACCCCTTACCACAAATTATTACTCCTAACAGGTGCCAGACATTGCTAGAGCCTGAAATCTTTTAACTACAGGACAGATACAAACCCTGGCAGTTCAGTTCATGGCAGTCATCATGTTGTCCAACCAGTATGACCGAATCCTGGCCTTGAGCAACCCCTTTAGAAGGTATCTTAGGCTGCTCTCCTCTCTGGTGAAAATGACCACAGGTGTTCTTATTATTGCCAACTAAGACATGGGCATGACTACTAAAAAGAAAGTAAGAATGTTTCTTGTTTGCAGTAGGGCTAAGTAGGAGAGAGCAACAGAACAATATCTGCATATAAACAGAAGTTTTAATCTACACAATTTAGAATCTTTCAAGAAATTCCACAGATTGCCACAGTTTAACCACCTCTACTGCTTCTATTTTTTAAATTAATTCCCATTTGTTATAGCACTCCTGCTTTCCTCCTTTGGCCCTTCCAGATATGCTGGTAGCCACTTCTACTATTTCAGAATGAATTTTAAGAGCCACTTGCAGAAGCCTTAAAAAGAAAGAAGCACCTCATTTAATCAAAATGATTACAGAAATACTCCTGCTTATCCTGCAACTAGCAGCAACAGTATCATTTGTTCTTTCAAAGGGCACCAAGAGTCCTACAAGTTCCTCTCTTCTAGGAGACACTGTTAGAAAACAAGAGGCAGCTTCAATCTAGGCTCTGGAAGCTAATCCTGAAGTACTTGAACACTGGAGAGCTGAATTCTCACAGTGTTACCATGCCCTTTTATTATCCTAATTGAATTATTTCACACTGACCAAGTCAAGATTCTCCTGGCAACCGGTCATTTTAATCAGCGCATGCTAATTGAGGTAGCAATTCAGGAAAGTGAGAGGCTCTATTTTAGTCTGTTCCTCTAAATAAACCTCTCAATTGACTCCTAGGCCCAGATGCCTGCTTTTTTGCGAATAGTACGTGTGATGGAGATTCAGCTGGGGGCACCAAATTTTGCCCCAGAGATGAACATATTTGCAGCTGTCAGAAGCAGAAGAATGGATTTTCTGATCTCTAGCAGTACAACTGTAATGTTAAGAGCAAGAGAAGTTCAAAATGTAAATGCTCTTTTCCCTATTTAAGAATAAACTGGTGTTAACTGTCCTGAAAATGCACCTAGATTTAATGTTTGAAATCGCTGCATTAGCTCAGATTGTTTCCCTCTACCTGGATTGAGCACCAAAGCCTTCAGAGTTGAACAAAACCTGTACTGAGCAACTAATTCAAAAACATAATTAAGTATTTTATGTTTATGAAAAAATTTATGAGGAAGCAAGGAACAGAAAGCTAAAACAGATTCATATCCTTTTAGACCTCAGTCCTACTACAGAAATACCCAAAAGTAAGCTCTGCTTCTGTTTGGGGCTTCACTTTTTTTTTTTTTTAATGGAGAGGAAAGGCATTCTAACCACAAGATCATCTGTTCTTTTTAGTAAAGTATTTATTACAGTGGTATTTAAAACTTAAATCCACTAATCCTCTGCACTCAGAGCTTCACAGGAAGAATGTGAGCAAAGCTATGGTTTAACCTATATGAAAGTAACATTGACAATAGAGTCTACATGATTATATGATGTTTCTATGACAGGGTAATGGAGAATGCTTTTGTTTAGGAATTAAAGCAATTTCTCCAATAACAGATTATTTTTTTTCCCTGAACACTACTTGTTTGTCCTATACCTCAAGAATTTCAAAGGAATGAAGTAAAAGAGTAAAGATACCTGAAGAAAGTTGGTCTTTATC